ATTTTTACAGTTTACTAATAACATATTTTGCTCATCTCTTAGTATTTTAGGATTGTTCATAGGGCTTAAAAAATCTAAGAACTTTTAAAAATAAATTCTGGGGCAAATACTTATTTTAATAGCAAAACTGAATGCTTATTATTTCTATTTCTTAGAATTGAGATTAGCTTTCTCAGTATATTTCTCTCGAGTGAGAATGGAAACACAGATGAAAAAATTGGAATTACTTTACTTATTAAGTAATTTTTAGCAACATGTGTGGAAGTCTTAAGTTAAGAGTTTGAAATCCTGGGGATTATGTTTGGTAAATTCGGAGGTTAAGAAATAAAAGAAAGCATTCCAACTTGGCCTTTTAGTGTTATTATTTTTCAAAGCGTCAACTCTGAAATGAACATATTTTTTTACTGCCACTCTTTCCTGATGCTGTCGAGTTTTAAGGAGGATAAATCAATCATTTTGTTATTCTTTTGACTCTGCTAGGACTAATGAATTTCTTTGTTTATACTTAATACACAGGAAGACTTTGGAGGATTTTTTAATGACAGGTGCTGACTTATTTTCCCTATTTCACTCTTAATTCAGATCCCTTTTGCTGATGCTCTGGATTTGTTTCGAGGAAGGAAAGTCTATTTGGAAGATGGCTTTGCTTACGTACCTCTTAAGGACATTGTGGCAATCATCCTGAATGAATTTAGAGCCAAACTGTCCAAGGCTTTAGCAGTAAGTATTTCACTTTATTTCCATGTTTGACATGTTCACACTTTCAGTTATATACCCTTGGTAGTTTTGTTCTATGTTTCTCTAGGAAATAGGTTAATTTAATTTTCGTAATGATTTTCAGATTACTTATGATGTTGTACTATTAATCCCAAAACTCCTAGGTTTTTGTTTGTTACTACCAATAGTTGGTATTTAAAATTTTTTTCTTTGATCCTACTAATACCAATGGTGAGTGATTAATTTTGTGAGTAACCTCTGTGGGTTTCTTCAAGATCATGTCTTTTTTTCCTTAGAAATAGACTTCATATGTGGCTCTTAACAATTTAGTGTGGCCCGTGGTAGATATAACTCCTAGATTTCTGTTCTTAATTAGCATTTGGTATTGGTAGAAGACAATATAGAAGAAAATCTAAATGTTTAAGTACTGACATAGTGATATGCTGTTGCTGCAATGAATAGCTCCGTAGTGGGTGAATTTGGAGGTAGCTGTGTTGAGTAAATGACATGAGCAGTGACTTTTAAGTAGTTTGTTGGAAGTGTGACTCTTAAGTGTTTATATCTTAAAACTATACATATTTTTATATGTAAAACACATATTTTACAGTTGTCTTTTAATCTGAGTCTAGTTTTTAATACTTTTTTTATACTTCATGCACAAGAGGACTTCAGACTTTTATGACTTTTAAGCTGTACTGATTATAGATTAAGTATATGCCAACCTTTCCTTCTGAGTTAAAAACTGTAGTATTTTCTGATACAAATAAATTTTTATTGACTCTCTGGGGTTGCCTCAATATGCATAATTTAGCTATGTCGGCATATGGGCAGACTAAAATGTTAACTGTTTTTATTTAATGAAGGAATTTATGAGAATACCTAGCTTAACAGGTATTTAGTAACTGTTAATATATTCCTTCTCCATTCCTAATCCTATTCTTTATCATCATTAAAGTTGATGCTTTTAAATTGTTTCTTTACTTGTCCATCACTACCCTAGATTATATTCTATTTATAGCCACGAAAAGTGTCTTTCACCACTTTTCTTAGAGGTGTAAACCTCTGTGGAGGACACTGATGTTTGTCTGCTGTTTGGCCATTGATCTTTTATTATTCTTAGTTTTATTCACCCATTTTCTGTCTGTTGACATTTTAGACCACATTTCTTTGTGTGAAATAATCAAATATTTTCCAGAATATTGGACAGTCTTAGCTGTCATCTGTTAAATGCCAGTGGTGGCCCCAGTCTCCACGACAACCAAAAATATCACCATGCATTTCAGAAAACTTCCAGCATGTTAATATTACTTTTAAGCTGATCATAGTCATTTCTTCCTTTCTTTCCAAATTGTTGATCTACGTGTGTAACAATGTAATTGTGGCTAAAAAGTATGAGTTCTTTGGGGGACTTCTGAAAAAAATTTTTCTTGCTAAAATAAAAATAGGCACGTGGGATGAAGTAGTCTTTTTTTTCCCCTTCTGGATATTGTTGTCACTGAATGAGATGCCTGGAACAGCTGCAGTCATCTAGAGATGAGGCAGGTGCCTTCAGGACAACCCGCTTTGTTGCATAGAGATGGGAAAGTTGGAAAGAATCTGAGTCCAAGTTGCTGTCACTGAGTTGCTGAATTAACCCAATTCTGGAACCATCAAACTTTTTATTATATGGGATAATGAAGTTTTAATTTTTAAAGGCACTAACTTAGGAACTCAAAAGTGGAATTTTCTTTCTCTGGTAGCAGAAAGCATCCTGGTACTGGATCAGTGTCTGCATTAGTTAGTATTTTCTTTTCGAGTTGCAGGTAACAGGAAACCAGCCTATGCTATATTAACTAATAAATAGAATCCGCTAAGTCTTAAAATTGAGACGTCTAGATACAGATGAACTTCAGACATAGCTTGTGAGTGTTTCATCCCTTTCTAAGAAGCTGTCTTTACCCTTATGCATATGCCTTATCCTCAGTCTGGCTTTCTGATGGTTGCAAAAATAGTTACCAATGGGGTCAGGCTTTACTTCTGTATAGCATACTTTTTAAAAGAGTTGCTTTGTTTCAGTTCTTAATTTTTGTCTTACTATTTACTGTGCTTAAAATGGCTTGAATCATATGCTGTATTTATTAGTTTCCTAGGGCTGCCATAGCAAAGGACCACAAAGTAGGTGTCTTATAACAGCAGAAATGTATTGTCTCATTGTTCTGGAGGGCAGAAGTTTGAAATCAAGGTGTCAGCATGGCCATGTTCCCTCTGAAGGTGCTGGGGAAAGATCTATTCCACATCTCTTTTGTAGCTTCTGGTAGTTCTTTGACTTGTGGCAACATAACTTGAGTCTTTACATGGGATTCTCCCTGTATGTCCCAAATTTCTACTTTTTCTAAGGATATCAGTCATACTGGGATACCCTTTTTCTAAGGATATTAGTCACCTCTCAACTCTAATGTGACCTCATTGTAACTAAGTGCACCTACAGCAATCCTATTTCTGAATAAGGTCGCATTCTGAGGTTCTGGGGGTTAGTACCTCAACATATGATTTTTTTTTTGGGACACAATTTAACCCATATCATACATGCCTATCACTAAAGCAGTTATTGTGGTTTAAGGGATGGCCTAGCCTAACGTCATCCCTGTAGATGGGGGATCATGGGAGCTGAGAGTCACTATATTCCTGAAACCACAATATTCCAAACAAAAATGGATGATTGGTAGAAATGGGGAGAGGGGAGAATGATAATTGGGAGACAGACAACAATTATCTACTACCTAGAAGACACTTAACGTGTATTAAATGTATGAAGTTTTTCACTTTGTAATTTCTATTCAAGCCAAGCTGCCCAGTGCCTAACTAATTATAAAAATGAATCTGAAATTCTTTTACTTTTGGGGTTTTAAAGCTACTTTTGATTTTGTGTATTGTAAAGCTTAAATAAATTTTAATAAGTTTTGACTGTTTATTTTATAAATTTGCCTTACAATCAACTTTAAAAAAATTTTACACTGCCGGGCGTGGTGGCTCAAGCCTGTAATCCCAGCACTTTGGGAGGCCGAGGCGGGTGGATCACGAGGTCAAGAGATCGAGACCATCCTGGTCAACACGGTGAAACCCCGTCTCTACTAAAACTACAAAAAATTAGCTGGGCATGGTGGTGTGTGCCTGTAATCCCAGCTACTCAGGAGGCTGAGGCAGGAGAATTGCCTGAACCCAGGAGGCGGAGGCTGCGGTGAGCCGAGATCGCGCCATTGCACTCCAGCCTGGGTAACATGACTGAAACTCCGTCTCAAAAAAAAAAAAAAATTTTACACTTGCTGCACATTTTATTTTAGGTAAGCCAAGATAATCTATGTATATTTGTGATTTAATGTATCATTCTAATATTCCAGTGTAGAAAGAAGGATATGTGGCAGATTTTTGCAAAATTTTACAATTTTTTTCTAATCTATAGGTATAGATGAGAGATCTGTACTGAGAGAAAGGACAAAACTTTGGTTCCTAAGTTTGTAATAAATTCATTTTCAGCAAACTGCACCTATGCTTTGTACCTCGTTGACAGGAAATACAGTATTTATAAACTGAACTCCCTTCACTCCTTTCTACTCATTTTCCCCCCTCCAAACATACTTAAAAAATTAATACTTTAAAAAAGTTTGAAATATCATAGACTTACAAGAAATTACGTAGAAAATGGTAACTTTTTCTTTAAACCATTTGAGAATAAATTCCTGGCCTGTTGTCTTGTTACCCCCAATACTTTTTAGTGTTTAATTCCTACAAACAGAATATTTTCCTGCATAAACACAATTAAACGTCAAAATAAGAAAATTAATGTTGATAAGTTACTACTGTCTAACCCTCAGACCCCATTCAAGTTTCACCAGTAGTCTCAGTCATATCCCACATGCAGTTCTAATTTACATGTTAGTTGTTACGTCTCTTTAGTCTCCTTCAGTTTGCAACAGATTCTTAGTTTCTGTCAGTTTTTCATGGACTTCGTTACTTTTGAAGATTATTAGCTAATTATTTTGTATCTCTCAGTTTGGATTTTTCTGATGTTGCTGCCTATTTATATTCAAGTTATTCATTTTAAGCAATACTGTTATAGAAGTTATGCTATGTTCTTTTCATTGCATTCTGTCAGATTACATGACTTTTGATTCAGCCTAATTCTGATTGACTTTATCAAAATTTATCCATTCTATTGTTAATAGGCATTTGGCTTTTCCTTTTTTTTCCTTTGGTTATCATAAATACTGCCGTTGTGAACATTGTAACATATTTTAGCAAATATTTCTGTTGGTTATATGTTTAAGAACGGAATTGTAGGGTATTGAGTATATTCGTGTTCAACTTTAATGGATTTAGATTTACTTTAAATGGATTTATTGTGGCTTGATGTGGTGGCTCATATCTGTAACCCCCGTCCTTTGGAAGGCCAAGGCAGGAGGATTGCTTGAGCTCAGGAGTTTGAGACCAGTCTGGGCAACATAGTAAAAATTCATCTCTACTACCAAAAAAGAAAAGGAAAAGAAAAAATAGCCGGACTTGGTGGCATGCGCCTGTAGTCCTAGCTACTTGGGAGGCTGAGGTGGGAGGATCACTCGAACCCAGGAGATCAAGGCTGCAGTGAGCCATGATCATGCCACTGCACCACAACTTGGGCAACAGAGTGAGACCCTGGGGGAGAGGGAGAGGGAGGGAGAGAGGGAGAGGGAGAGGGAGGGAGAGGGAGGGAGGGGGAGAGAGAGAGAGAAGAGAGAAAAGGAGAGAAAGAGAAAAAGAAAGAAGAAAGAAGAGAGGGAGGGGAAGGGAGAGAGGGAGGGGAAGGGAAGGAAGGAGAGAAAGAGAAAGAAAAAGAAAGAAAGAAAGGGATTTGCCTTGATTACAGGTGGGTTGTGGAGCGTTCTGGCCTTGGTGTCTTGGGTGTAATAGAAGGCAGATAGTGACTTGCTTTCTCAGGCAGTGCTTGACTTTCTCCCAGCTGGTTCAGGCCAATCCTAGTTGAGAGGAGG